TACCATTTTGGGCTCGTAAGGATCAGTACTATCGACTGGCATCAAAAAATAGAATATCTAAATTTTGACCCAAATCGACCAAAATGGCAAGGGGTAACATCACGATTTTTATCAAAATCGGGTTCGGTTCGAAAATCAAACCTTTTTTGATGATTTTTTTGAATATCTCGGCCAAATAGTGTCCGATCTTCAAATTTTATACCATTTTGGACTCGTAAGGATCAGTACTATCGACTGGCATCAACAAATAGAAAATCTAAATTTTGACCCAAATCGACCAAATTGGCAAGGGGTTACATCACGATTTTTATCAAAATCGGGTTCGGTTCGAAAATCAAACTTTTTTTGATGATTTTTTTGAATATCTCGGCCAAATATTGTCTGATTTTCAAATTTTATACCATTTTGGGCTCGTAAGGATCAGTACTATCGACTGGCATCAAAAAATAGAAAATCTACATTTTGACCCAAATCGACCAAAATGGCAAGGGGTTACATCACGATTCTTATCAAAATCGGGTTCCGACGCTCTAAAAACGACATATATCCGCGGAAGATATGACGTTTGAAAACGACATAACTCCAATTTTGGACTCGTAAGGATCAGTACTATCGATTTTTTTGAATATCTCGGCCAAATTGTGTCCGATCTTCAAATTTTATACCATTTTGGACTCGTAAGGATCCGTACTATCGACTGGCATCAACAAATAGAAAATCTAAATTTTGACCCAAATCGACCAAATTGGCAAGGGGTTACATCACGATTTTTATCAAAATCGGGTTCGGTTCGAAAATCAAACTTTTTTTGATGATTATTTTTGAATATCTCGGCCAAATTGTGTCCGATCTTCAAATTTTATACCATTTTAGACTCGTAAGGATCAGTACTATCGACTGGCATCAAAAAATAGAAAATCTAAATTTTGACCCAAATCGACCAAAATGGCAAGGGGTTACATCACGATTTTTATCAAAATCGGGTTCGGTTCGAAAATCAAACCTTTTTTGATGATTTTTTTGAATATCTCGGCCAAATAGTGTCCGATCTTCAAATTTTATACCATTTTGGACTCGTAAGGATCAGTACTATCGACTGGCATCAAAAAATAGAAAAACTAAATTTTGACCCAAATCGACCAAAATGGCAAGGGGTTACATCACGATTTTTATCAAAATCGGGTTCGGTTCGAAAATCAAACTTTTTTTGATGATTATTTTTGAATATCTCGGCCAAATTGTGTCCGATCTTCAAATTTTATACCATTTTAGACTCGTAAGGATCAGTACTATCGACTGGCATCAAAAAATAGAAAATCTAAATTTTGACCCAAATCGACCAAAATGGCAAGGGGTTACATCACGATTTTTATCAAAATCGGGTTCGGTTCGAAAATCAAACCTTTTTTGATGATTTTTTTGAATATCTCGGCCAAATAGTGTCCGATCTTCAAATTTTATACCATTTTGGACTCGTAAGGATCAGTACTATCGACTGGCATCAAAAAATAGAAAATCTACATTTTGACCCAAATCGACCAAAATGGCAAGGGGTTACATCACGATTTTTATCAAAATCGGGTTCCGACGCTCTAAAAACGACATATATCCGCGGAAGATATGACGTTTGAAAACGACATAACTCCAATTTTGGACTCGTAAGGATCAGTACTAAATTTTGACCCAAATCGACCAAAATGGCAAGGGGTTACATCACGATTTTTATCAAAATCGGGTTCGGTTCGAAAATCAAACCTTTTTTGATGATTTTTTTGAATATCTCGGCCAAATAGTGTCCGATCTTCAAATTTTATACCATTTTGGACTCGTAAGGATCAGTACTATCGACTGGCATCAAAAAATAGAAAAACTAAATTTTGACCCAAATCGACCAAAATGGCAAGGGGTTACATCACGATTTTTATCAAAATCGGGTTCGGTTCGAAAATCAAACCTTTTTTGATGATTTTTTTGAATATCTCGGCCAAATAGTGTCCGATCTTCAAATTTTATACCATTTTGGACTCGTAAGGATCAGTACTATCGACTGGCATCAAAAAATAGAAAATCTACATTTTGACCCAAATCGACCAAAATGGCAAGGGGTTACATCACGATTTTTATCAAAATCGGGTTCCGACGCTCTAAAAACGACATATATCCGCGGAAGATATGACGTTTGAAAACGACATAACTCCAATTTTGGACTCGTAAGGATCAGTACTATCGATTTTTTTGAATATCTCGGCCAAATTGTGTCCGATCTTCAAATTTTATACCATTTTGGACTCGTAAGGATCAGTACTACCGACTGGCATCAAAAAATAGAAAATCTAAATTTTGACCCAAATCGACCAAATTGGCAAGGGGTTACATCACGATTTTTATCAAAATCGGGTTCGGTTCGAAAATCAAACCTTTTTTGATGATTTTTTTGAATATCTCGGCCAAATAGTGTCCGATCTTCAAATTTTATACCATTTTGGACTCGTAAGGATCAGTACTATCGACTGGCATCAAAAAATAGAAAAACTAAATTTTGACCCAAATCGACCAAAATGGCAAGGGGTTACATCACGATTTTTATCAAAATCGGGTTCTGCCGCTCTAAAAACGACATATATCCGCGGAAGATATGACGTTTGAAAACGACATAACTCCAATTTTGGACTCGTAAGGATCAGTACTATCGATTTTTTTGAATATCTCGGCCAAATATAGTCCGATCTTCAAATTTTATACCATTTTGGACTCGTAAGGATCAGTACTATCGACTGGCATCAAAAAATAGAAAAACTAAATTTTGACCCAAATCGACCAAAATGGCAAGGGGTTACATCGATTTTTATCAAAATCGGGTTCGGTTCGAAAATCAAACCTTTTTTGATGATTTTTTTGAATATCTCGGCCAAATAGTGTCCGATCTTCAAATTTTATACCATTTTGGACTCGTAAGGATCAGTACTATCGACTGAAAATCTAAAATCTAAATTTTGACCCAAATCGACCAAAATGGCAAGGGGTTACATCACGATTTTTATCAAAATCGGGTTCCGCCGCTCTAAAAACGACATATATCCGCGGAAGATATGACGTTTGAAAACGACATAACTCCAATTTTGGACTCGTAAGGATCAGTACTATCGATTTTTTTGAATATCTCGGCCAAATATAGTCCGATCTTCAAATTTTATACCATTTTGGACTCGTAAGGATCAGTACTATCGACTGGCATCAAAAAATAGAAAAACTAAATTTTGACCCAAATCGACCAAAATGGCAAGGGGTTACATCGATTTTTATCAAAATCGGGTTCGGTTCGAAAATCAAACCTTTTTTGATGATTTTTTTGAATATCTCGGCCAAATAGTGTCCGATCTTCAAATTTTATACCATTTTGGACTCGTAAGGATCAGTACTATCGACTGAAAATCTAAAATCTAAATTTTGACCCAAATCGACCAAAATGGCAAGGGGTTACATCACGATTTTTATCAAAATCGGGTTCCGCCGCTCTAAAAACGACATATATCCGCGGAAGATATGACGTTTGAAAACGACATAACTCCAATTTTGGACTCGTAAGGATCAGTACTATCGATTTTTTTGAATATCTCGGCCAAATAGTGTCCGATCTTCAAATTTTATACCATTTTGGACTCGTAAGGATCAGTACTATCGACTGGCATCAAAAAATAGTAAATCTAAATTTTGACCCAAATCGACCAAAATGATATAAAATTGCAAAATCGGACATTTTTTGGCCGAGATATTTCAAAAAAATCATAGAAAACTGTCGTTTTTTGGTCACAACTTGTTTCAACCCATCGATTTTTAATTTGTTAGAATGCCAATTGATGGTAAGGATCGCTATTTATTTGTTCTTGGTTTTCCTTCTCTTCAGGGCTTGCGCACACTCAGACACGAGCTACCCGAGTTTCCTGCAGTTGGCTGAGTTAGTCTTAGATGAACATCTGAGCACCAGCCACATCTGCAGCTGTTCCTGGCCCGCTGATTCATTTGAACATTTCTGTGAACTGGTTCTGGTTCTGTGCTTGCAGGAACAGGCGCCCGAGACGCCAGCACCGGCCCAAGAACAACACATCGAGCAATCCTCGTATCTTAAGCTGCCCCCAACTCGTCCCGGGCGTAATATCTATACACACATTGTTTAAGCGAAGCTCTACGATTATTATTACAATTTGTACTTGAATTTAAACAAGAAAATATAACTGAATAAATCGAAAGATAAAGAAAAACAACAACAATATTTGTTATACTTGTTCACAATGGGCTCCATTTGGGAATATTTCAGCTAAGCAAATGGGTTTGTATGAAGTCTGTATTTGAGGCAGTCAAGATCTTGTGCCTGCAAATGTCTCCTTGTATCTACAATAGATGGAATTTTTCAATTAATCGATGCCAATCGATAGAGCTGATCCCTACGAGTGTAAAATGGTATAAAATTCCAAAATCTCACATTTTTTGGCCGAGATATTACAAAAAAAGCATCAAAAAAGTTTTGATATTCGAACCGAGCCCGTTCTTCGACAAAAGCAAACAACTTCGGTGCTTGAAGTCCGATCTTTATGCAATTTAGAGCGCTTTTAGATCGAGGCATATCAAGGTTTCTTATCCAAGCTGCGGCTTCCTTTTACCCAATTTGGCACATTTTCGAGGGGCATTTGAACAATATTTATGCATATTATGGAAACTATTTATATTTTAATTTTTTTTACAGAATTTGTTGCATTTTGTGTTTTATTTAGGAGATTTCTATGCGTGTGCGTGTGTGGGAATTTCTTTTATACATAATATATGCGTGTGTGTATGTAGAAAAAAAAAATTCGAGTTTAATTCTAGTTCTAGGCGCTTAAATTAGTGTTAAAATTAGGCTGCGAATCTAACGTTAATAGTTGAACGACTTAAATTAGCTCTGCTTCTTATTCTTCTCCTTCTTCCTCTGGTCCGCGCGGAGAGTGAAGAGAGAGAGGGGGGGGGGGGGGGGGTGCGGTCAGGGTAGGGCGCGCATCTAATACAACTTAGTTTATGCATGCAAATTGTTGTTGCTTTAATTAAATTTAAATAAATAAATAACACTAAATATACAAGAAAAAAAAATTAATGCAAAAATAAACAGCGCGCAGCCACGCCCACACGTCCCGACGGCAACTGCGATTAAACGAGAACGAAATAAATGAGCGCAAATTAATCAAAATAATAATCATATATGAATTGTCGCCTGGCGTGGCCTGTGGGCTGTGGGCGTGGCTGCGGACTGTGTCGCGTCTTAGAAACTAGACCTCAATACTGTTGAGACTGCCCGAGGAGATGTTGTCCGTGTGGCTGCCGAGGCGCGTCCGCTTGATGAGGGCGCGGGCGGGCATCGGGGAGCGTTGAACCCGCGGGCTGCCGGGCACATGGGGTATGCCCACGTGGCTGCCGCCGGTGTGCGATGTCGGGTGATGCGAATGGTGCAGCATATGATGTGCCACATTATTATTATTATTATTATTATTATTATTATTATTGTTGTTGTTGTTGTTGTGATTGTTGTGAGTGTTGTTGTTGTTGTTGTGTTGATGATGATTGTTGAGATTTGTGTGGCTGTTGTGCTGGCTGCCGGAGGCGCGTCGCTGCCGGCGCAGCGAGGGTATGCGTGTGGGCGTGGGCGTGGCCATTGCATCCTCCATGCCATAGCCAGAGTGCGGCAGCTGCTGCTGCTGCAAGCTGCGAACGCTGCGCTCCAAGGTGCGTCGCTGCTGATCCAACATGGGCGAGGCGCCGCCCGACACCTGCTGCTGCTGCTGTTGATAGTAGGCGGCGTGCGGTGGCACGGGCGGCGGCTGCTGAAACTCGTGACGCTTGTGCGCAAATGTGGGCGTGCCGGGCGCATGGTAGGGCTGCGCATGATGCAGGCCCGGCTGATGCAAGGCGGCGGCGGCAGCTGCGGCCAACGCGTTGCCCTGCAGGAGAGATGGGGAGATGGGGAGAGAGATTAGTGTGTGTTCAAGTTAAGGCTAAGAGGCGTGTGGCATGTGGCAGGTGTTGCAAATATATTCGCTGGTCGCTTGGCAACAAAACTTAACCTAAAAACGTTTCTCAACTGATTTTTGCTTAAGTTTACTTGTTGTTGTTGTTGCTGTTGTTGTTGCTGTTGTTGTTGTTGTTGTTGCGCTTTGGCTGCGGCTGTTTTCTTGGGCAACGGCAGCGGCGGCAGCGGCTTGCTGGGCGCCTCCGTCGACGTCTGCTGCGACTGCTGCTGCGGCTGGCTGAGACCCTCGCATGCCTCCAGTGTCTCGCAGGAGGAGGAGGCGCCGGTCAGCGCCTTGTCGCTGTCAGCAACATCTCCATCTCCAGCCTCATCCTCCGCATCGATATCCGCGTCTGCATAGAGATCGGTTCCAGCATCTGGCTCGGCGTTTGCAGCGGCATGCTCCGGCGTCGCATGGCCATTGGGCGGCAGAAAGCGCAGCTCCATGACATTGCGATTCTGGAACAGGGGACGCTCAGTTTGGCAATGGCGTACGGGGGAGTGGACAGAGGAGCGCGACGCGCGACGAGAGATCAGTAGAACAGAAGGCAAGAGACCACGAACCAGGAGCGAGAGACGAGATCAAAACAACAACAAACGGCTGAAGGCGACAGAAGACAGAAGGAGGCGGGGCAGAAGGAGGCGCGGCAGGAGGAGGCGGGGCAGAAGGAGGCGCGGCAGGAGGAGGCGGGACAGAAGGAGGCGGGACAGGAGAAACAGCGATCAAGCTAGCACAAGAAGTGAAAGAGAGTACCAAGAGGGGGAGAAGGCATAGAAAGAGACGGAAGAAGGGAAAGAACAAAGGAGAAGGCAAAGAAAAAGAGAGCGAAAGATATATAAACAAAATATATGGAAGGTAAATATAAATAGAAATTGGCGAGAAAAACAAAGATTGAGCGAAATAGAAGAAAGGAGAAGAGAAAAGAGAAGAAAAGGCGAGAGGGAAGATATAAAAGAAGCGAAGAGTTAAAAAGACAAGCGAAAAAAGGAAGCAAACGGTAAAAACAAAACAAATCCACAAAGGATAAGAAAAGAAACAACAAAATAGAGCAAAGGCAGAGAAAGAGAGAAGAAGAAATAGATAAAGACAGCATGAAAATCAAAGTGCGAAGAAAGCAAAAAAGAATTGAGGAGAAACTCGGAGAGCGAGCAGATAGAAAAGAAGAGAAGTAGAAAGAAACAAGGAACAGGAAAATGCAAAGAAAAGAAACAGAAAAGGTAAAGTAAAAAGAAACGAAGGCAAAGAAAGAGAGAGAGAGAGGGAAAGAGAGAGAGAGAGAGAGAAGGAAATGTATAGAAAGGTATATAAAATAGATAAGGACAGACAAATGCATAAGAACGAATAAGAGAGAAGGTAGGCGAGAAGAGAAGGGAAGAAAGAGAGCGAAAGAAGTGTGGAAAAACAAATATAAAAAGAGATAGACAGACAAATGCATAAGAGCGAATAACCGACAATGAAAAGAGAAGAAGATAAGAGAAGGGAAGGGAAAGAGAAGAAAATAGAAAAAAGGCAAAAAGAGCAAAAGGAATAACAAATAGATAGCGATGGAAAAACACATAAGGGCAATATTTAAAAGTTAACTAAAAAATTTACATGATTTATAATAATATTTTGCATTTCTTTCTATTTCCATTCCAAGTCCATTGCAAGAAATAAGCCGGAGGATAAACGAAACGGGCGACAGAGTTGGGTAACGAGTGGATGGGGCTGCAAAGTTAATCCTGAGGATAAACTAAAGCGTGTGAGAAAGAGCGAGAGAGAGGGAGAGGGAGAGAGAGAGAGAGAGAGAGAGAGAGAGAGAGAGTTTTGGCTGCAGCAAGGAGAAGGCGAGTCGGAGGCGAGTCGGAGGCAGAGCGAGGCGAGAAACGTTTTTTTCAATTTTGACCAAGTAACCAGCGAAAAGGGTTTTCGTTTTTGTAAATCATTTTGATATAAGAGCCAGTGGGAAAGTGGAGCAGTTGCTCGGCAGAAAGAGAAAGAGAGAGAGAGAGGGAGAGGGGGAGAGAGGGGGAGAGCGGAAGAGTGGCAGATGGATAGAGCTTACCTTGTCGGCCGTGGGATCCTGAGCGAGAGGATTGGGCGTGATGTTCATGCGTGGAATAACCCCATTCAGACGCCGGACATCGGCCGGCTTGTGGCCATGATGGGGCGCCACGCCGAGCACGGCGGACGTAACGAAATCGGCTTGAATGTGATCCAATTGCGGCTTGTTCTCGTCTGAAAGTGAACAGACGTGATTAGTTGCAAGCTGGAGCAAGCATTTGCCCGGCAGCGGGCGGACTCACCCTCGGGTTGGGCACTGTTGCGCCGGCGCAGGCACAGGCAGGCAACGGCAATGGCAATGAGCAGCAGCAAGCCACCGCCGGCGGCGCCAGCGATGACCGGATAAATGGAATTCTGCTGCTCGCCCGAGCCGCCGCTCGAGACGGGCACAATGGCGGGCGAGGAGGCGCCGCTGCCCGCATGGCTGGAGATCTCTGCAAATTGACAAGCGAATAAAAACAATTGTAATTGATGCGAATCCAACTGCAGCTAGTCACTTACTCAGCGTGCGTGCCTGCCTGATCTCGCTGAAGTCGGAGGCGGCGTGCGCATTGAACGTCTGCAGCTTGAACTCGTAGGCGGTGCCCGGCTCGAGCTGGTCGATTTTGAAGCGGCGCGCATGGCCGCCATCGACGGTCGCCTTTAGGTACTCGGCGGCGGAGGCGGCCGGCCTGTAGTAGGCGTAGTAGCCATCGATCTGGTGCTGCTGGGCGGGCATCGGGGCCAGTGTCCAGTGGAGGAGCACCGCAGACTCGGAGTAGGGCTCAATGTCGCGCAACTGGGGCACCGGCAGATTCGATTTGGCGGCGCCGCGCTGCAAAAAGAACTTGGCCGAGGTGTTGCCCTCCTTGTTGTCGTTGTTCGAGTAGACGGCCACGATCCGGAAGCGATAATTGCGATCCGGTCGCAGACCCGTCACCGACGACGTGAAATTCTTGACGCCAGCATACGCCGGCTCATGATGATGGTCACGATCGCGTTCGCGATCCCGTTCCCTGTCCCGCTGCTGCTTGCCATAGGGTATATTCTCGTTGGTTGTCTGCCAGTTCTCGCGGGGCATCTTGCCGAGCATGCGGTATTGCACCTTGAAGAATTGTATGGACAGGCCGTCGTTTTTGGGCACATTCCAGCGCAGCATGACGGCGTCGTCGGCCAGGCGTGTGACATTGGGTCGCGATGGCGGCACCATATTGGCTGCAACAGCAAATTTTCCATTTTATTAATTAATAAATACCAGATTCTTTTCATTTTAATTCTATGTTATTTCTGTGGCCAGCACTGTTAACGCAAACGCGCGCTCGCGCACTGTTAACGCCAAACTGCGCCAACAGCACGCAAAACGGAGCTAACAGCGCTGTTAATGTTTATGAGTAGTATCGCTTTCAAGCATTGAGTAGTATCGCTGTGCTGCATTGAGTAGTATCGTCATAGCTGCGTACGCGTTTTGAGCGAAATATTTTGTGCTGCTGCCGTTTGCCTGCCACAAATAGACAAAATAAAAAAACAAATAAAAAAAAACAAAACCTAAGCCAGCTAAGCGCGCGCATTAACATAAAATAGCAAACGCAATTAAATGATTGACAATTTCGTGCGAGCAACGTACAACTGGCGAGCGTCGCAACATTTTTTATACACACATCTCTAGTGCAATATAAGTGGCAGTTGCCAGTGCCAGTGGCAAGCGGACGGACAGCAGACAACAGACAAAAAAAAGACTCACACCGACGCTCACACACACACGCGCGCGCTCGCTCTCGACCCGAGTGTGTGCATGTGTGTGCGTGTGTGTGTATAAGCAAAACGAGTGCAATTGATTTTCATATATATTACTCGCTACTCGGCATCGCAAACGGACTCGAACTCGCACTCGCACTCGCACTCGAACTTGGACTCGGACTCGGACTCGGATTTGGAACTGGCGAGCCGCTAATCGAGTGATACCGCATCTCGTTGGCGTACATAAACAAACTCAATACAATACTGAAAAACTCAAAACAAAACGGGCGAAACATAAACAAACACTATTCAAAATCCGTGGCAGATCGAATCAAGCGAGCTGCAGAATCGAAAAGTATGTCGGCAGCCGGAGATGCGAGCGCCGGTGCCGCGAATGCTAGCAACAACGTCGCCGTCGTCCAGGCAACGGTCAGCGTGAGCGGCAACATTAGTGTGGGCGACGGCAGCCCCAACAACAACAACAGCAACAACAACACAAACGGCAACACGAACGGCAACAGCAACAACAATGGCTCGACGGCGGGCAGCTCGAAGGGGCAACTGCCGCTGACGCCACGCTTCACTGCCGAGGAGAAGGACGTGCTCTACACACTGTTCCATCTGCACGAGGAGGTCATCGACATCAAGCACAGAAAGAAGCAGCGCAACAAGTACTCCGTCCGCGACACCTGGGACAAGATTGTGCGCGACTTCAATTCGCATCCGCATGTCAGCGCCATGCGCAACATCAAGCAAATACAAAAGTTCTGGCTGAATTCCCGGTAAGTGCGGCCTTGGCAATGGAGCTGCCCGATAGCCCGATTGCCCGATTGTGCAGCCTTCTAATCGTTTTCCATTTACAGTCTGCGCAAACAATATCCATATCGGGATGGCAGCGCCTCGGGCGGCAGCGCAGCGCTGGGCAAGGTGGGCACCGTCTCGGCCAGCGCCCAGCAGCAGCAGCAACAACAGCAGCAGCAGCAACAGCAGCAGCAGCATCACGACAGCGTCAAGGTGGAGCCGGAGTATCAAATCAGTCCCGAGGCGTCCGAGCATAATCCGCAGGGCGAGCCCTTCGACGAGATCGAAATGGATGGCAACGATGTCAGCGAAATGGAGGACGATCCGCTCGAGGCACAGCAGCAACAACAACAGCAGCAACAACAGCAGCAACAGGCGGCGGCACAGGCCCAAGCCGAGGCGCAGCAGCAGCAGCAATCGGCGGTCGCCGAGATGCAGAAGCTGCAGGTAAGCGCCGCCGTGGCAGCGGCCAATGCGAGCATGTTGAACACGCATCGCATCAACGTGGACTCGATCAGTGCGGAGAAGCTGACGCTCAACGATCTGCTGCACTTCAAGCCGGCGCGACAGCGCGACGAGATCATACTGCAAATCAAGCATCCCACAGATGCCACAGGTACACACACACACATATACACATATATATCTATTGAGAACTAACTTTGGAACTGTTGCCCCTCGTTACAGCCACACAGATACACACGATACCCGCACAGCCGCAGCAGCACACGATGGCGACGATCACGGCTGGCGGCTACAATCAGCAGATCATAAGCGAGATCAAGCCGCAGCAGATCACGCTGGCCCAGTACCAGGCGCAGCAGCATCAGCAGGCCCAGGCCCAAGCTCAGGCCCAGGCACAGGCACAGCAATTGGCGCAGCAGCAGCTGGCGGCACAGCAGCAACAGTTGGCCGTGGCGGCAGCTGCGGCGCATCAACAGCAGCAACAGCAACAGGCAGCCGCTGCTGTAGTTGTCCAGCAGCATCAGCAACAACAGCAGCAGCAGCAACATCAGCAGCAGCAGCAGCAGCAGGTGCAGCAGCAACAGCAGCAGCAGCAACAGGCTGCCGCAGCAGCAGCTGCTGTCAAGATGCAGCTGACCGGCGGCACGCCCACCTTCACATTCAGCGCACTGCCCACGGTGACGGCGGCCACATCTGTGCCTGTGACCGTGCCTGTGCCGGTCACCGTGCCGGTCACCGTGCCGGTGACCGCTGCCCCGGCGGCTGTATCAAATGTGAGCGTAAGCGGCGCTGGAACGCTGCCAACGGGCGCCCAACAGCAGCTGCAGCTGCAACAACAACAGCAGCAGCAGCAGCAACAGCACCAGCAGCAGCAGGCGGGCGATAGCTACGAGGAGCGTATCAACTACTTCAAGGTGAAGGAGGCGGAGCTGCGCTGCAAGGAGCAGCAGCTGGCCACCGAGGCCAAGAAGATTGAGCTGAACAAGGCGCAGGATGAGCTCAAGTATATGCGCGAGGTGCATCGCCTGCGCGTCGAGGAGCTCAAAATGAAGATACGCATACTGCAGAAGGAGGAGGAGCAGCTGCAAAAATGTTCCAGCACATGAGATCTGGAGGATATAAGCGATGCGGAGGCGGAAGCGGACGCCGATCCGGACGTCGATCCGGATGCGGACACGGATACGGAGGTGGAGGTTGACATGGAAATGGAGCACGCCGAAAGGACGGCGCAGGCAGCGCAGGATGCGTACATGGATTTGGATATGCAATTGCTGCTCTAACCCGGATGCAGCTGGTTACCCATAGTCTCTATATAGTCTATAACTATCTATAATATATATATATATATATATATATATATATATATATATATATATATATATAGTAATTTTTTTTTTCAAGTTTTTTCAATTCAATTTTCTAATTTTTATTTGTACTTTTATATTCTTTTTTTTTCGTATTTACTTTAATTGTTTTCGGGTGGGCGGGACGGCCAGCCGTGCGGGTTGGCCGTGATTAACAATTACCGATTACCGATTAACGATTACCGATTACCGCTTACTATTTACCGATTGTCGTGTATCGATTATTGATTACCGAACATCGTTTACCCTTAAGCCAATTCTCAAATTGTAATTGTATATCGATATGAAATACAGTGAACTAAGCCACGATACGAACAAATTTACACACATAATACAGAAACAGAAACAGCAAAAATCGACTCACCAACTCTCATGTATTTGCGCTTCTTGTTGCGCGAACCGCCGCCAAAGTTGCCCGACCCGGACGGCGAATAGCCGGAAAAGGAGGAGGAGGAGGAGGAGCCGCCGCCACCGTTGCCGGATTCGTGGGGCGATCGCATCGGCACCTCGCCCAGCGGCTGATAATCCTCGCCGCTAAGCTGCGTGGGATTCACGCGCAAAATATTGCCCTCGCTCGTCTGCAAAGAGAGAGAGAGAGAGAGAGAGAGGGGGGGGGGGGGGGGAGAAGAACACATAAGAAATATTAGGAGAGTTTCACATATCGTCTACTCTACGCTTTTTCCTCTATTGCTTATTTTGAGCATTGACTTTCTAAAATTTGAGCTCTACTCACACTCTAAAAATTTCCATCTTGTTAGATGTTTTTTTCTTCCACTCATTCCCATTGTCCGTGAGAAATTTTCATTCTTCAACAATGTCGAAGCTTTGCAAATGCGCAAAAAGTCGTACATTCAACTAAGAACCGTCTATTGTTCACTCAAAAGTGGATTTTCTGAAAAGCTCTCAAATGAATTCTCACAAAGAACTTAGAAAGTGAGCTTGTTAAGCAAAGAATAGCTTTCCACCCATTTTCCACACTGCCGGGTGGAAGTTCCCAAAATCCGGCTCAACGATTGCCTCTCTCAGCCCAGGAACTAGCTACAGGCGATTAGTCAGTCAGTAAAAAGAGTTTTATATATATGTAGATATATCCTCTATGTTCCCTATCGAACTCGGGTAATATAAGAGCTAGAGACTTGCAAATTGAAATACCTAAATTCTACCAAACTAAACGCCAGGTAACCCTATAATCTGTTGCGATCTACCCGCTCATTTGCTAAATATCGATTTTGAGCATAGCTCGAGAACTATAAGCGCTAGAGGGATCAAATTTGGTATGCAAGCTCTCGTCTAGCATAGGCATAACTAGAATATTTCACATTTTAAATAACTTTCCATGGAGCTGGGTTATGTTAGATGCTACCCTTTGATTTAGCCCCAAGCATGATATTACAGATGATATTTCGTACTACCCCTTGTCGGACATAGACAGTTAAGAGCTGGAGCTGGAGCTCAGTTCCGGGATTGGTTGTTTTACTCACCTCGCCGAGCTGATTGCGTGCGAAGCACTGGACGACGCCGGCATGTCGCTTCTGGACATGGCGGATATGGAGACGATTTTGCTCGACAAGCGTCTCGTTGTCGGCGCTGGCATCCTCGCCGTTGATCAGCCAATAGATCTCCGGCTGTGGATGCCCGGTGGCGTTGCAGTCCAAGGAGAGGGGATCGCCCTCATTGGTCAGGGTGGTGTTGGGGCCGTGCAGGATGCGCGGACGCTCGAGCACGCTCAGCTTGATCATGTGCACCAGAACGGGCGCAATGCCATTGTCCAGGCGGCAGACATAGGAGCCCTGATCCTCGGGCCGGACATCGCTGATCTGCAGACCGTAGGCGAGCACCCGGCTGCGATTGTGATAGATATTGGGCACATTGGGACTGCTCCAGACGGCGCCCGGAGGCGGCGATCCAACACCTGGGCACTCGAGCACAACCGTCTCGCCGGGCCGTGCGGCCACCTGTGTCGCCGGCTGCTGCAGCAGAAAATACGGCGGCGTCCGATCCGTATAGTCCACACGCAAATCAATTACCTGCGGCAGGCGCAGCTCCACGCCGGTTATGGCATTCGTTGCCGCGCACGTATAGTTGCCCGCATCCTTGCCACTGACCGAGTTCAGGACCAGGGCACCGGCGGCGCCCGGCAGCAGCTCCGTTTGCGGCAGCTTCTCGCCGTTGCGATAGAAGCTCCAGATCGCCGGCGGATTGGAGGTGACCGAGCCGCAGCGCAGCAGCACACAATTCTTGGGCGCCACGCTCCAGCGCACCGCGTGCCGGCCGTAGCCGCTGCTCGGATTGTCAATGGCAATCGAGACGAGCGTGAGCCGGGCCGGCGTCGAGGCAATGGCGCCGGGTCCATACCAGGCGACGCACTGATAGTCGCCCAGCGTCTGGGCGGTCACATAGATGCGCAGCTTCCAGGTGCGCTCCTCATTGCTGCTGGTCACATTATAGCCGTCGGCCGGCTCCAGATAACGATACGGCTCGTCGCCGCTCACCCGGAATCGCCACTCCAAGCGATCCGGCTTCAGATTCAGCTCGCACTCGAACACCACCTCGTCACCCTTCGGCGCCACCGCCGACTCCGGTGCCCGTTCAATATAGACGCCCAGCTTGTTGCTGCTTCCGCTTCCGCTCCCGCTTCCGCTGCTGCTGGGGATGAGGCAGCCGCTGAGCAGGACCAGAGCCAGAGCCAGTGGCAGCATTGCCAAAGGACTCATGTCGGTTTGGCCTGGAAAGAAAGAGCAGCACATATTTCATAAGCCAAGGATTTCGATTACTTTTGGAGCATAGCTTAAAGATCCATGTATACGAAACGCACTCCTGATTATTTTCGGTGCCTGCAGGCCGGGTTTTAAAAAAAGTGAAATGTTTCTTAAAATTATAAACTATTCGGGAAGCTGTACGCCAAATTCGATGCAAATAGCTTTTAATGTGCTCTAAGAGCATATTTTCAAATCGATATTTATCGATATGATAAAAATGCCGTCAGATATCGGCACAAAATGTAACATTTCTACCGTGCATGCTTTATTAGAATAAATATTTCAAATTTCAAGTCTCTAGCTTTTCTAGTTGCTGAGATCGACGGTTTCACACAGATTAGAGTGGGGATTTCTAGTTCAATTTGCTGAATAAGTTCACTCGTTCATTTTCTGGCCGTGAACTAAATCGTTCATTTAGTTCACTCGTTCAGCTATTCAGTCGGTCACGAACTGTTCGCTTAGTTCAGTTATGCAGTCAAATCAAAAGTGAAATTAAAATCCCGCTATCTTTTATGTTTATTAAGAACTGAACATCTCAAACGAATTAATCGTTCATGAACGACTGAACGAGTACAGAATACATCGTTCATGACCAAACGAGTGAACCAAATAACCGATTTAGTTCACTAATCACTGAATAAGTTCAGTAGTTCATTTTAATGACCCGTTCAATCGAACTTGGTCTGAACTAAACACAGATGGACAGACAGGCATGGCTATAAGATCCGAGCTGTTCTGTTCGAAATTAGTTGTAATTAGTTGGATGAGATGCCTCCTTCTGGCTTTTGCATAAAAACAAATAGATTCGGGATAATTGAACTTCTAAGAAACATTTTCTTTAAGCTCAACATTTTATATATATTATAAGTATTTACTTTTACATTTATGCATATTTCGATATTTGGCAACATAATTGAACTCCAATTTATTACTGCAAAAACCCATTCGAAATTTTTTGTAATTTCTGAAAAAATACCAAAAATAAAAGGAATGAAAAAAGAAAAAAAACACGTTTTTAGTCATGAAATTTCGTACAGCTGAAGGTAGCAAAAGTGGGCGTTAAATTTGTGGAATGTCATGTCTTGGGCACAACTGTACCGCAACTCAAACTGGGCGCGGCACAAGGGGGTAGAGGGGGAGGGAGGGGGGGGGGGGGCAGGGTAATGCCGACTGAGCTGCTGTCCTGTGGTAAGCGAAAGGGGCGTGGCCAACGGAAGCACAGTCGCTCGCAATGTGCCATTTAAACTGGAGCCGAGGCTGTCTGCATGCTGCATATTGCATGCGGCATGCGGCTTGCGGCATGCAGCATGTGGCCAGCCTGTTGCCGCAGTCCTTTGGCCAGTGCATCAGATTCTTAATGGCGTGTCATTATTATGAGCAGGCCAGGCTGCAGGTGCTGCAACGGCTGCTCCGTCTGTTGCGTGGCAGGGCCAGGGGGCAGGGGGCAGGGGGGGCAGGGGGGGCAGGCTGGCAGCGGAACGCCTGTGGAACGGGTTCGTGCAGCATTTGCCCTGCGACAGTTTGCGCCTCTCGATTTGAAATTTAAACGATGCCAGCAAAAGCAACAGCAACAAGTAAGAGACCAGAAAAAAAAGAGATAACTGTGGCAAGCCGCATCTGAAATACTCTATTCTCTATAGAGACGCATATTGAGTGCAACTCCTGGAAGAGATCGACACAAAGAGAAAGGTATTTCCCACTGAAAAAACTCATAGCTCACACGATTCTTCCTAGAGAGCCATATGCTATATTAATCCGATTTAGTTAGGATTTTGCTAGATATAGAAAGAGCAGAGTTTTTCTTGAGAAAAGAAAAGAATTCGATATACGACTGATCACAACTGTGGTAAATATATGATAAAGTGGCGCGATCCGGCATAAATCGATAACAGACGCAAAGTTTTAAAAATTGACAGACTGGAAACATAAAGATAGGCGTATAGTAATATCTATAATAATTATTGTCGAATTATGCTACGAAAAACAATAATTCGATAACGATTCTTATCGATTTCTCGACAAACCCAAAAAGTTATCGATCTCTTTGTGCTCTAGAGGGACATAGGCACGAATTCTCTCCAAATTCAACTTCTAGTTCTCGAGACGGACAGAGGCTGATCGGGAATATATATATATATAAATCTATACTTTAAGTCAGCCCTTTGGATGTTACATATATTTTCACCTAGCTGATATACCCTGCTTAACCCATTTCCAATGGTTTAGGGGCATACAAAAAAGGAACACAAAAGCGCGCGCGGAATTCCAAGAAACGGCCGCCCGGTCTGCCCAGTTCCCGTCCCGTCTGGCCCAACCTCCCCCCCCCTCCCTCCCTCTCTCTCTCTGCCTCCATCCCTGCCTCCTGGTCGCTTTCTCGGTTTTTGACGCACATAAATCGCAACGCGGCTCCCATTTGAAAGTCATTATGGGGCAGGCAGCGAGCGAGGCAGGCGCGTGTGCAGCTGCCACAACGTCGCTGCCTGCTGGATGCTGCCTTGCTGCGTTGCTGCCTTGCTGCCTGGTGGCCACTTGTTAGCGCAAGGAGCAGCCGCAAACCGGACTGCCTACACACAGGTATCCCAGGTGCCAGGTCCCCAGACCCGAGCCGAGCCAAGGCGATCCTCGAGAGCGGCCGTCGCGACGCTGATTTAAAACATCTGACAACAAAAGTAAAGCGCGAAATTGACGCAGGTTTCTGTTGCAGCGACTGCTTCTTCGCCGCCGTCTTCTTCTTCTTCTTCTTCTGCTTCTTCTTCTGCAGCCCGTTGCGTGTGTTGAAAATTAATGCGCATTCCAGTGCCCCAACAGGCAGCAACAACAGCAACAGACCAAAGCAAAAGCATTAAAAAAAAAAAGAGTTAAAAAGCGCTCGCAGAACAGAGGAAATGAATGGCGCGTTGCAAGAATGTGTTGCACGCACACAAATGACAGTCGCCGGGGCGGGCGGCAGGGGCAAGTTAAGGGTACAGCTACTGGCTGCAAATGGCAATCAAAATAAATGTTACAATAATAAAAGATGAACTGCAAATAACAACATTTGATTGTGCGGAATGTTGTGCAACATGTTGCTAAGCACAGCTGCAATATGAATATGAACATGAATACCAGTATGAGCATGAACATGAATATGAATGTGAATATGAATATGAATATATGAGTACGAATATGTATATGTATATGAATGTGAATATGAGTATGAGTATGAGAATGCGTATGAGTACGAATATGTATATAAATGTGAATATGAACATAAACATGAACATGGACATGAACATAAATATGAATATGAATATGAATATGAATACGAGTATAAGTATGCACATGAATGTGAATGTGAATATGAATATGAACATGAATACGAGTATGAGTTAGAGTATGAGTATGAGTATGAGTATGAGTATAAGTATAAGTATGAGTATGAGTATGAGTATGAGTATGAGTATGAGTATGAGTATGAGTATGAGTATGAGAATGACCATGAGTACGAATATGTACAAATATGAATGTGAACATGAACATGGGCATGAACATAAATATGAATATGAATATGAATACGAGTATAAGTATGAACATGAATGTGAATGTGAATAACAACATGAACATGAATATGAGTATATGTATGATTTTGAGTATGAATATGAATATGAGTATGAGTTTGAATATGAATATGAATATGAATATTAATATTAATATGAATATGAATATGAATATGAATATGAATATGAATATGAATATGAATATGAATATGAATATGAATATGAATATGAATATGAATATGAATATGAATATGAATATGACCATGAATTTGAACATGAATATGATCATGAATATGAATATGACCATGAATATGAATATGAACACGAATATGAATTGAGCACACTTAAGGCTTGCATCAAGCTGAACCCGCTGTCTACGAGCTTGGCAACATGTTGCTAGCTAACGTGTTGCCAATGCTTTTAATTTTGTTCATTGCTGCATGCTAATTCGATTAGTCACACTTCGAAAAGGCCAATTTAATTATTAGAAAAAAAAAGAAGAAAAAAAAAACGAATAATAAACAAGAACTAGAACAATAAGAAGAAGATGAAAACCGGAGTACAAGTTTTTTATATATTCATTTTTTGTTTGGCCACAGAACAGAAAAGACATTAAATGACAGACAATAACTGTTATTAATCAAATGAAATGCCAAATTAAATAGCATAAATTAACAGTCAAAATACACATGTTGGCTAACAACAACAACAACAACAACAACAACAATAACAACAACTTTTGGTGAATGGCAGCGGCTTCTTCAAATGTTTGCTTGTCCAGTAAATTAGCATAAAACTGTTAGAAATTAGTGAAGTAGGCGCGAAGCCATTGCAAGCAGCGCTGCCAGCAGCATATGCGGAGGAGGAGCAGTGGCAGCATGACAGAGGGGCGGAGGGGGGGGGGGGGGGGCGAGGTAAGAGGAGGGGCAGCTAAAGGCTTTAACCTGTGGTTACACAATTGAAATATGCGTTAGAAAATGGGCGTGTTACCTGGCCAGATGCCAATAGAGAAGCCAAGAAGCTGAACAAGAGTCAATGCCGTAAAGTGCTCGACGGGCAGTTACCCTGTAGTTGCGACAGCATATGCATACATAGATAAAATGTGAGAATGCAATGTGAAAAGCGCAGTTTTCGCGTTTTTCACACAATATCGCGCTTTTAACGCTTTTTTATCTTCCACTTTATGGCTATTAGCGAAACATTTGAATGTGAGGCAAATGTTTCGCCTGACCGTGTGGAAATTGTTTGGTTTTCATTACAGTAAGCAGTGCGTTTCGTTTACCATATCGTCTTTTTATCGCTTTTTTATCATCCTAAATTGATGGCACGCCATGACGATATCGACTCTGATGCTTTTCTTTAAAGAAAATGCTTGATTGGCGATTTATTGGAATTATTTAAAGCATATATGATAATTGCGATAGTCAGTATCACTACAAAAAACAGTCTCCTCTAGATAATGATAACGATAATAATGAAAATTTGAATACTAATAAAAAGATTAAGAAATAAAGTAATATTAATTATTATTAGAATAACAATAATAATAATAATAATAATGATAATAATAATAATAATAATAATAACAATAATAATAATAATAATAATAATAATAATGATAATAATAATAATAATAATAATAATAATAATAATAATAATAATAATAATAATAATAATAATAATAATAATAATAATGATAATAATAATAATGATGATAATAATGATAATAATAATCAAAATAATAATAATAATAATAACATAATAATAATAATAATAATAATAATAATAATAATAATATAATAATAATAATAATAATAATGATAATAATAATAATGATGATAATAATGATAATAATAATAAAAATAATAATAATGATAATAATAATAATAATAATAATAATAATAATAATAATAATAATAATAATAATAATAATAATAATAATAATAATAATAATAATAATAATAATAATAATAATAATAATAATAACAATAATAATAATAATAATAATAATAATTATGATAATAATAATAATGATGATAATAATGATAATAATAATAATAATAATAATATCAATAATATCAATAATAATAGTATACAAATATTGCAATTATTAATGATAATAACAATCACAGTAGTAATAATAATACTATAATCAATAAAACACTTATACTTATGATAATATTAAAATATTATTATTATAAATATTAGTATAAATAATAATGATATTCAAAAAATATCACAATAATGCTTTTCTATTGCATTGCAAGATGCACAAGATGCCCAAACTCTTTTCATCGACACTTGATATTTTACAGGGTAGCTGCGACTTTGTCTGCTGCTTGCTTTCGAGGTGGCTCTTTGAGCTGTAGATCTTTGAGCGCGTATTTCATGGCGAGGCGGAACGCAACGACAACACAATGATGACAACAACAACAACAATGACAACAACAACTGTTGCTGTTAGTTAATGTTGCTGTTGTTGCTGTTGTTGTTCTGAGCTGGGGCTGATTGTTGTTGCTGCTGCTTGCCCATTAAGCAGCGGCAGTTAACAGCTTGTAAAACACTAACACCTGCCACAAGCTGTTGCTGTTGTTGTTGTTGTTGTTGCTGTTGTTGCACCGAGTTCAATAAAACCTGAGCGAGAAACAACAGCAGCAACAATTGCTGCGGCAGCCAAAAGGAGCAATAGAAAAATCACGAATCGAACAACAACAACAACAACAAATAGAATAAAGATCGCCCTATACAAACAAACAAAACAAAACAAACAAACAACAACAACAACAACACACACAAGTATATATAGAAAGATATGGCAAAAATGCTTGTGGAATGGAACCTGTTTTCAGCTGAGCAGCTGAAGCTGAAGCTGTTGCCTGGCATCTGAGGCTAAGCCCAAAGATGACCGGAACCAGCGCAACAGGAGCGCAGCGCGGGCAGCAGCGGGCCCCAAATCAAACGGCAACAGGGCAGAGAGAGAGAGGCAGGGGCAGGGGCAGCCGGCAACAAAAAACCAGAACAAGAGCGAAAAACAAGTCTCTAGCGCCACAAGCAACAAGCTGCAGCAGCAGCTGTGGCAAGGGGCAGCGGGGGGATTGGGAGGGGGGGGGCGGGGTGGCAGGGTCGATGGGCTGCGCATGTAAACGAGTTCGCAATCTGCATTCCAGAGGCGACAACAACAACAGCAACAGCAGGATTTGCCTTTCAGTTGTGGCATGCACCAAGTGTGGGCCACGTCTAATTTGAGCGCCCCACCTGTTGATGGTGGCCGCCCCACCCCTCCCCTCCCCTCCCCGCCCGCTATACACAACTGCAGCGCATCTTGAGCGTGCGTGGGCCACGCAGCATTTGGGCGCGGAGCGTGCGGCACGCCCACAATCAAAAGAGTGCCACAGCGTGGGCGCCGCAGCCCGAGCCTAAGCCGAGGCCCAGACTCAGGCCCGGGATTAAAGTTTATTATTCAATTTGTGGCAATGCGCGGAGCTTACCTTTTGCTTTTCCTTATTTGTCTGTGCAACGCGTTGCCTGCGCCCAAATGCTGTCGCCCTCTCTCTCTCTCTCTCTCTGTCTCTCTGTGTGTGTACGCTGTGCTGTCTCTCTCGCACACGCTAGCGTCGGGTCCGCTCGCACCTTAGAAGCGCATTTTGCGACAGCGCCAACTGCAATGGGAGCATCAAAATATAAATAAATAAATGAATAAAACCAAAAAAAAAAAGCAGCAAGTTAGAGTCGGTTATGCCCGACTACGAGTTACCCTGAACATATATTCTGGCTCGGTGCTCAGAGTCCGATTCTTCTTCAAAATTTCTGCTGTGTCTCTCAAAAATAATATATTCTTGCTCTGAACATACTTAAAGAGAATTTTTATACAAAATTTGGTGCACATAGCCCACATAACACTCGAGTTAAGCTCAAGAAACATGTCCAGAAATCGATATTTATCGATATTATGAAAATGGGAGGAGAGCTGTTGATAAACAAAATTTCAGTGCCATCTCTGACAGTTTTCGCATTTAAACATGGCTAAAAACGACTCAATTTATGTGTTACATACATTGCCACACAGTCAATATGCCCGTTTCTGGCATTTTTACAGGGTATTTGCAGAGGAAACGAGGCGAATGTGTGTGCTGTGTGCCTTGTCGCGCATAAATATTGAAAATAGATGACACTCTTAATGAATTTCAAAATAATTGAGGCCTAAACTGGCACAAAAAAGCTCAGCGACAGGCGACAGGCAAATAAATGCGAAGAAGCCTATAAATAAAGTGAAAAGCCGACGGAAAAACAAAACACGAAACAGCATCGAACTGCGACAAGCCGCAGCTGAAATACCCTGCCAGCCGGCAAGCCCTAAAACTGGCCGATCGTGCTATATGCGATATATGTATATAGTGCTCCGATCGGGCCGAGAGCCTCGTTTGTATGGCAACAGACGGACATGCTGATCGAGAATATATATATATAAAAATTAAGGCATGGTATGCGTTACATATTTCAGGACTAAATCATAATACCCTATGCGGGCAGCTGCAGCAAAGGGCGCTGCATTAGGGTGACTCACTGCTCTGTGCAGGCAAAAAATTGCACTTAGTAAGGGCACTCGAGTTGGCAATTTAAATACGTCTTGTTATATATTTATATTTAAATGCAGATCACAAATCTAAAAGAATATACAACTTTGAAGTTAACTCATTGAAAATAGGTAAAACAAGTAAGAGCTTCTAGTCGGGAGCTCCCTATTCCGACTAGGGGATACCCCGAACCCTCTTCTTCCAACATCGAATGCATATATATATTCTATTTTAGAAGCTATATGTCAAGTTTGGTGACTCTAGCTCTTATTATTTACCCAATTTGCTAAAAAAAACAGGATATCGATATCGATTTTTATCGATTGCTTGGAAACGGAGCAAGTTATCGATTATCGGAAACAAGCTCGATCTGCACCTACAGGGAAAATGAGCAGAAAGCAACTCCGAATAGTATATATATTCTGGATCAGCATCAAGTACCTATAAAAGCTAGAAACGAATAAAGAATTATGTGCAAGGTGTCTTTTAAATCAAAAAGAAAGCATCTAATGTTTAGTTGAAAAAGGTGAATCGACTATAAAACCATAATATTTATTAAAACAGCACCTAATTATCTATCTAGGCCATGAGAAAAACTAAGAACCCGTTAATATGTTTATGTTGAGACTAATCTTTGTTTTAATGCAACATAATAATTATAATCAATTTATTGAAGAGAAATAAATAACTTTTAAATCGTAGAGCTTAAGAGATTTGCTTCTAAGAAAACGAGCAAGTCGGGCACGCCGTAGATTGAATACCCTTACCCTATTGCAGATATGTGAGAATATATATGTGAAATTTGATATGACATAAGAATATGAATATGTTGAACAGAACATTTTGCCTGATAAGATATATATGTTATATCTATATCAACTCAACTGGAATATATATACTCTATAATGCTGGAGGCCATCTTCTGCTATTCATCACAATGCCATAATACCCTCCCCGCAAGGGGAATTCGTGTGCATAAATCAGTTGACGAAAAGGAATGCCATCTAGTGAGTGCCCCTAATGTGTTTGGCTCTAGATGTTAGAGTCGCTTTTGGTATTTGGCTGTCCCTTTAAAAAGACATTAAACTAAGAACACAATTCGAGCTAAAGTTTTTGACACCCGTCGAATTTCACTCAACAGCCACGCCCCCCGCCCTCCTACGCTCCAACCATGCCCCCCCCCCCCCCCCAACACCCTCCTCATGCCACTGAGTTGGGGACCCTTCGGAGCAACATGTCATAAATAACACAAATCATTTTTTTTCCGTTTTAAATGTGCCAAAAAAATGAAATCCATAAATAATAAACGGGCAGCAAAAGAGGCGGGGCTATGGGCTAGCTAGAGGGGGGGGGGGGGGGTGTGGTAGGGGTAGTCAGTTTTTTTTGTGCATTAAATATGCTTTCAATTAATTTATCTTGCCGAAGTGCCGCCCGCTAATCTACCCCCAACCCCTCACCCACCCCCACCCCCTCCACCTACACCTACACCTACACCCCCCCCCCCCCCCCCCCCCCAAGCAGTCGCAGCCGCTGCGCATTTTGTGCAGTTGCTGGCCCATAATTTCATAGAAAAATTTTTGAAATGTCGCCAAGTCGAACAACGCGTGAAAAACTACAAAACAAAAATACGAGAAAAAAAAAAGAAAAATACAACTGAAATTTTTTTTTTAGAAATAACAACAAATTTGTTGTACAAAATGGCCAAAAGCAACAAAAACAATAACAACAACAATCAAAATTCAACTAAAACAAAACGTGAAAGAAAGGCTATCTTCGGCACGCCGAAGATCTAATACCCTTGCAGACCCAAACTTTTCATAATGCTTATAGTGCTTTGTCCGTATCTAAGAAGCACAGGGAAAATAGTTAATGCCGAGTTTGGGCAAGATATCTTGATAAACCAAAAAGGTTTTTAATCAAAAACCTAGTTTTCGACCGATCGTTCCTATGGCAGCTATACGATATAGTGGTCCGATCTTAATAGGATTTTGCATATATATGAGTAGTATAGTAAAACTAATAAATGCCGAGTTTGGTCGAGATATCTTGAAAAACAAAATATTTTTTCATACAAAAACTTAATTTTCGACCGAGTGTTTCTATGACACCTATATGATATAGTGGTCCGATTCAGCTGGTTTTGACATATGTGCTGCGTGCAACAGAAAAAGGGATATCTGCAAAGTTTCATTAAGATAGCTTTAAAACTGAGAGACTAGTTCGCATAGGAACAGACAGACGGACGGACAGGCGGATAGACGGACATGGTTATATCGACTCGGCTGTTGATGCTGATCAAGAATATACATATATACTTAATGGGGTCGGAGATGTCTCCTTCTATGCGTTACACATTTCACGACATAACTAAAATAACCTCTGCAAGGGTATAACAAGGGTATAACGAGCGCCACCCCAAAACTGAAAGATCTATCTCTGTGCGTGCGTGTGTGTGTGTGTGTGTGTGTGTGTGTGTGTTTAACGACTTGTCATATTTCATAAATATATTTTCAGCATTTTTCATAAATAATTTTTTTTTTGACATTTTTCTAAACAAAGTAAAAGACAAGAAAATAGTAAAAAAAAAAACAAATTCAGGTAACGCACAACTTTTGAAAAGTTCTTTTCAAATTATAAACAAAAACAAAAAATTACTTTGTTAAGAGTAGCAAAAATAATTACATATATTACTTGTCGAGCTGACAACATTTGCAATGTAGTTCAATAGGGTATCTATCAAATATAAATGTTGTCAAATTAAGAAGAATACTAAACATTCTGTTTATCAACGAATTGATATTCAAGTTAATTAAGTCATGTTTAGCAACAACAATAGCACAACACAACATGTTGCCAATGAATGTTGCCAACTGTTATGTTGCTGGCCAAATATGTTGCCGATGACGATGACGATGATCACGATGACGATGATGATGATGATGATGATGACTCATTGCAGTCGCGACACGTTTTGGGTTCATTCGCTGTGCCGTTTATTGGTCAGCAAATTAGAAATAGCTGCAGCAGTAGCAGTAGCAGTAGCAGCGGCAGCGGCAGCATAAATGACAGCGCAGCTTTTTTACAGTTACTTTTGTGTGGGCGTGTGAAGCATGCGAGGCGTTTGCAGCTGCTGTCACATTGTTGCTGCTGTTGCTGCTGTTTGTTGTCGCATCGCTCTCATTACTGTTGTTGTTGTTGTTGTTGTTGCTGTGGCTGTTGCGAGGCTTCTCACAGCTGGCTTTTACTTTTGTCATAATTAATGTGCTTGGCATGCAATTTCTTGTTGTTCTTCTTATTCTTAGCAACAACAACAACAACAACAACAGCTGCTGCAACTACTTTGCCCTGCGGCACAGGCATTTGAGCTAATTTGCCGCCGCTGCCGCTGCTCGCATTCCACGGGTGAAAGCCCCAGCAGCAGCCCGAACCCGAGCCCGAGCCTGCAATGCATTCACATCCATGACATTCCGTTGGCAATTGCAGCTGGTTCTCTAGCAGCATGCAAAAAAAAAAAAAAAAACATGCTCCAAAATTTATGCGTTGCAGTTGCAGCGCGCAGTCCGCTGCCTGCTGCCCGCTGCCTGCTGCCTGCTGTTTAAGTCGCAGTCGCAGTCGCCACTTTTGTGCTTTTCCTCATATAAGGTGAGTGCCTGGCACTTCCAGTTTCCAGCGAGGCTCATTTCATTTTGTGCTCTTCTCTCTCGCTCTTCTCTCTCGCTCGCTCTGCTGCGAGCAACGTCCGCGCTCTTGTTCTTTTTGCTTTTGCCGTTGCCGTTGCGTTTTTGTCCATTTTTGGTGCTTCTCCTCTGCCTGCTTGCACAGCTATCCTAACCGCAGCACGCCCCCCTGACACTATCAGCCCATTTGCATGGGGCTCCTTATGCATTTTTCAAATGCTTCAGTTTTGCTGAGCCGCTCTCTTGTTAAATGCTGCTCGCAGCAGGCAGCTGGCAGCGACGCAAGCAGCGTGCGACGGTGACGGCG